AAGGAGTGTGAGGCGGACAGGAAGGCAGCGTGACAAAGGCGGAGTGCAAGGAGACGCGAACTGCCCCAAGGTTAACACATTGGAAAATGTTAAAGGATACAATGGAAGTACGTGATTTATGTCGGAAACTGCGGGGGATGTGGCCGGGGAAAGTACCAACGTGAAACGGGAAATACGGTACGGTAACTGCCTTAATGGCGGAAAGCGGGAGGTCGACGGGGATGTTGTTTTTACTCACATGCGGTCACACCATCTTCATCCTGGTCAGCGCTCAAAAAGTCTCACTTCGTTCGAACAACTCTGTACAGTTCAGGTGACGTTACCACTTCACAGCACAGATACTAGCAAAAAACCCAGATACGTGTTTCACCGGTATTCTGCCGCGGCGTTAGAGTTGCATGTGATTGGTTGGCTTTGCGGGGGGGGGAGGGAGTCGGGGTGCACGCACGTAACAAGCGAGGCCTTCTGACTCGCGTGGGGTGGCGAAAGTTTGTGTGTGCAGCCGCGACTCATTGCAGCTGAACGTTAAACGATACAGCTCAAATTGTCAGGGTCACGACACTGACAGAGACGCCGTAAAAGAGGGCGCTGTTATGACAGCCAAATATTTTACAATTTGATTGTATCATACATCATCACAGACACCGTGTGACGTTTTGTTGGAGAACTTAATTATCCTAATGTGTGCTTGCCGAGCAACCCAAGTATTCGTCTGTTTGTGCGTAGCTTATTTCAGGTGTTTTTCAAAGAAACCAGACAGCTTCTTACGAAAAAAGGGTTCACTAGGTCGTCGATTTGTTGATCTGGTTAAATATACTTGCATAGTCGTTTTTAGCCGCAACAGCAACTGCCGTGAGCGCTTGGTTTACATGCGAGAAATGGATGGAAAAGGTAGTTTATACCCGTAGGATAACAAAGTAACTTAGCGCATCTATACCGTGCTCATCATCGACAGGTCATACCTCGAGTCCACACCAAGAAGCCTGCTTTGCTTCAAGAGCCGACTCAAGTAATTTTCAAGCATTACACTTCCAAGATTCTTATTAAAAGGTCAATTTGGCAGACCCGTGCTTTCGGTAAATCATTATCAGGCCATAAAAGTTACATAGACACTGAAAATATGCGAAGTTCACAGGCCTTCATGAGTGACTCGGGGGCAATTAACAATCATCGTTCCCACACTTGCCCATTGATTCAAAGTGTCTTCCTATCAATTCGTATCATTCCGCCCACTCTCGAGCCCAACCAGGTGCCGCGCAGCGGCGCATGATATAGGCAGAATGTTATTATCAACAAAGACAAGGGATTTGCGAAAATTCCCATAGCAGTAATGAGAAAACGAGGTGGCGAGCATACGTAGCTTTCGATACATTCTCGTCGGGCCAGTACAATTATATGGAAACGGGGTAAAAGTAAAAACATGTCAGTGATTAGATAAGTCGATTAAAGATCACCTTAAAACACAGGCCGGGTATGGGAATGTGGTGGAGGGGGGGGGGGGTTATAGTAGTCACAGGCAAGTGAGACTGGAATGCTCATTTCTAACTTATGAGCCGTCGTCAGCAAGTCACATCCCACTCTAAAGTGTCGAACTTCTGGTCTCTGTGCGACCAGTATTCGAACCCAGTTTAGTAATATTTACAACCTTTTATTAGGTGGTTTTCTGGTTCATCTAGGAGGAAGTTTACATTACCAAGCACACGACTATAAGTTTCTCCAATACTACTGAAGGTTTTAATTCTTTCTATTCAATAAGAATGTTTGGCTGCATTTTAATGTTTCTGGGCATCAAAGGGGTGGACGTTTACAATTCGCGACAAACTTCATACATCCTGAGTTATTTTTAAGTAGAAAGTCTACAGAATTGCCGACAAAGACACGGGAGACTGGAATGGCATTTTTGGACTCATTAGCCGACGTCAACCAGCCATCAGCAGTCTCGTGGTGTGCAGCCAAGGGCTCGTTGTCCTGCTGGTTGCGATTGGGCAGCTACAATGGTACAGCGATACGAATCATCCTTGACCCAAACTTATGATTCTGGTTCTCACGCACTGCAACACAAGATAATTGCTTTTGTTCTCTGTTTTTGGGTAAGTACACTCCCGTTTTCCGCTTCTCTAACTATCTCATCTGACAACCCTTATTACCCATTGACCCATCGACCATGGCAAACGTAAAAATGCATTTCTAACAATTCGTATCCATCAGCCTCGTACTGATAATCTCAGATCCTACAACAGATGTTTATTTGTACTTGTTTTCAGATAATCATCCGTACGAGAGGCTCAGTATTTCCAGTATACTGCTTAACCCGTCTTTTAAATTCCTCCAAAGCCACTCTCGTAAATTAACTCTTCTCTTGATACTACGTGAAAACGTTTATAGCATCACCGTCCATCATGACACCAGTATTTTTCACGCTAGCGCTGTCGTGTGTACGCATACCCTTTCCCAGACTTTGGATATAAGTGGTAATATTGCGACGCTTTCTCGGCGCGATTGTCCTTTACATAATCTAGCAAACGTAGATTTAGCCATTTGGGTAACTTGATCCAAATGTGATTAAACTCGCGTCGTCCGGCGGGGCCTCGTAGCTCAGGTGGTTAGAGCGTTGGCTGCGCTAAAGCCTTCCCCTTACTGCGTGGGTTCGAATCCCACCGAGGCGCCGAGTTTTTCACAGTTGGGTCAATATGAATTATTCAAAATCTGCCAAAATATCAATGAATATCAATAAAAAAGCATACCCACAGCATACAGTTGGTGCTACGCAAGCTTGCTATCGTTTTAAACTATTCCACGCGCTAGTTGCCATCCTGCATCACCCAAGCTGTGGGACATCTGAAGGACATCGTGGTCGTTCGTGATGGTCCAACTGTCTTCCAAGTGCTAACGCACATGGCACATTTTACCATCAATGGCAGATATCGTGTATTTTTTTAGATTTGGTTAGTAGGTAACTTCACTAATGGTGCTGACACACGCTGGCATAAAATGGAATCAAGTAGTATCTGGGAGTAATTATTTTCGCAAATTCGTCATTGTGTAGTAAAACACGATCATCCGCCTTCCCATGTGAATGCATGCCGTCGGTAGGTGATGTGTCTCATTAAATACTAATTGAGGTACTTCAGTTGGTTCAGGTTGAGGAGAGATGACTGGGTTGGGCTTGTAATATTGCTTATTGTGCAGCATAATCAAAAGATAAATCAGACAAGACATTAGGAAAACATTTAAAATCGGCGTTTTTTGATTTCCTTGTATATACCACCCTCTGGTTTCTGTGAGACCTTGAGTATTCGATCCCAGTTTAAGGTGTTCAAACTACCTACAAGTCCATTGACAAGGGCAATGTCATTCCCTTTCTATACCCGGTGCTGAGACTTTGCCTAAGCGGAGTAATTAACCATGGGGCGAGCGCACATGTGAGCACTGTTCCCGACACCAGAGTCGGTCGGGCAATGATCACACCAACATCCAACGCATGTGATGAACTTGCAGCAATTAACGACGCGAATGTCGGCCATCAAACAGTCATTACACTGATGATGGAGGGAGCCGCGAGTATTCATAGGTATGCAGTAGCATGATGACTGCATCCTATGAATGCAGCGGCCCCATGTGCATTAACCACTCGTATGTTTTTGTCTCTGATTATGGGTTCAAGGAGAAATCCGAAACGTCAGGCGAAGAAATATCTTGTCCCGACGATCGTGTCTCTTTCTTCACGATTTTCTGTTTTCTTGAAGAGGGTGTGTGCATCACAGAATTTATGATTAATGTTTTCTCTTCTACTGCTAAAGGTTTTATCTCTTTATAAACAATACGACAATTCGACTGAATTCAAAGCTCCTAGGTATTGAAGGAACGGCTTTTTCCACGATATGACATACCCGATACATCCTGGGCTAGCTCTGACTAGAAGGCCTGCAGCATTACTTACAAAGGCAAGGGAGACTGGCATGGCCATTCCTGGCTTGCTGGCCGTCATCAGCCAGTCCTTACTTACCCAGAGGTGTGCATCCCCTGGGGCTTGATCTCGCGACCTACTGGCTAAAATTCCGACGCCCTAACTACTGAGTTATGGGCTCGTTGTCCTGTCGGCTGCTATCGGCCATATACAACGGTAAAGGAAACGCTCACCGATCTCGTTACGGACCTCATTCGTTCCGTTATGCTTTGGGACAGTTTCTCTATCCACACAGCCTGACTCAGCTTTGGTTGTCGCCTGTCGAATGTAGACGTACCAAGTTTCCATCATTCCACCTCCTCCATCCCGCTAAGATGGTAATTCGACAAATACATCTTTTTATTCTATTTTTGACTCGATGGCTGTCGACATGTTTTGTCCTAAAAATTTTGATCATCTTCTGAGAGAAACACGTTCTTTCTTTCGTACAGCGCGGCCGAACCCCCCAACCGTACACAGTTCTTACTCCTTTCCAACACCGATCGTTCGGCAGCCCGGCCAGACTTGTTTGCCACATGCCAGAAGCGGTTCAACGTCGGTTCTCGAGTTCGCTCTTTGCGGTGTGTCCCGGCAGTCAAGGATGACAGTGAAGTAGGCGTTTTTTTCACTTAGTGCTGCAGGGTACGCTGAGCCGTCCGTTCAACATTAAAGTAGGTAGTGTAATTGCTTTTAATTGGAAAATCGTACGGTAAGACACAGAGCCAGGAGCTGACAACTAGTCCGACCTGCAGCCGATAATGCGAGGTTTTATTTACATCCCCGATTCCGTGCTGCAAATTCTGAGCGGTGACGCCTTAGGCGTGCACGAGCGGCCAGAATGGATTTTCTGATGGCTGTAAATGGGTCTGGATCGGACGTTTGCATCACTCGAGCTAACAATACCAAAAAACCGGACATTATTAAAAGAGCGTCTGTAAAATCCAATTTATCAGCAAACCTGGTTGACAAAATCACCGTACGGAAACAACTACACTTGAAAAGGCGAAAAATAGCTAAGAGGGCGATACATCACACTGGGTCCGGAGTAACGTGGTCAGAACTTGGAATTCATCTGAGTGAAGGCGGAATAGGGAAGGCGCACGAACTCTGGTACAGTGCGGGAGAGACTGTTCCGGCCGGCCAACTCCAGGAGGAAGCGCAACGAGCGTAGACTGGTGGGCTGCTTGCCGTCTATGTCACGGATGCCCTTCTCTAGTGCGGTGTCTGCCACGAAAACCACGCGACCGGATCGTGAAAGTAACTTGTCCTTTGGTTCGGCGAGTAGATGTGCAATGACAAGACCCGTCAGTTCCGGGGATTCACCTAAAGGGAGGAAAGCAACGTATCACAGTGAGGAATTGAATGTAGGGTCAGCAGTTTCGACAGGGTCCGCCTCCGTACCATGACAATCTGTTGTTTAGTCATCCCTGTCAAGATTGACAAGTGGACAAGGGAAAGACCGCACTCATCCAACGTGAGAACAGTCGAGCAAACACGACGTGACACAAAAATCCACATTGATCCCCCAGGACGGTTAGTCAGGGCCCACGTCTCGCACCTGCCTCGTACAAGTGAGGAATTGAAAGGTGAGAAGTAACTTACTCCGCAACCAAAGGTATCCAAGCAACCAAGTCCTTATTCCTGAGAGTGGTTCGAAAGAGTGAATCTCAAACACAGGACGTAAGTTTCACAGATTCAAAATCAGCTCGTACGGTAGTCCTTCGATTTCCTCCAAAAGACTTAATGTCCTAATAATAGCTAAATATGTTCAGACTCGGGTACATTCAATCATTGCGAAAGCTGAGTTAATTAGTATCCGCGATGTCGAAGGGGGAAAATCAAATCTGCTCTGGAAGGCACACCAAGTGAGTTAGACTTACTTATATGGACGTCTAAACAGGATATGACCACATGGACCGCCTGCAACCCAGATAGTTTTGAGTCAACTTCCAGCGAAATCCAGGTTTGTTTTAATGTAAGGGTTGGAGTAAGTTAAAGATTAGACTTAAAGTTAGATTTCAGTTAACGACAAGGTAAGCTAGGATCAAGCTTAGAGTTAACTACAGAGGTAAGGTTAGGGTCAAGATAAGGAAAGCAGTTTAGTTTTATGTTAGGGTTTTTTGTTGAGGTTAGGACACTGGAGTACTTTTCTCTTCCAAGAATTATGCGCTCCATGCTGCGTATATCTGCTTCAAACTGATACCGGGGGGAAATGACTTAAAGTTCACCAATTTGTTTGCAGTATGGGCTTTGCATTACTTAAAATATTTCCGATCACGGTTGGTATGACGTAAGGCACATGCTCGCTGACAGAAGACCTGACCTAACGTCCAACAAGTCGGAATTCGATCCGCGGATTTTCACAACCTCCAGTTAGTGTATGACAAGCTGACGCTAGATAATAAGGCTAAGGTGTCAACCATCGATATCTCTGTTTGTAATAGGTCCCGGTTCTGGATTGGTCAGCTAAAACCCACAGAGCTGCTGAAAATTCGGTGATCAAAGGAGGTTTCTGGCTTATTTGTTCGAAATAATCAATTTGTCGATGAAAGTGCTAATACTTGCAGCAGGGACGAGTTATAACACATACCTCCACTGATAAGAAGAAGGAGCAATCACTGGAACAAGGGTTTTATTCGCCTGATGTTTGGGATTTTCACTTGAACCTATCATCATAGACAGTGACAGAAACGATGCATGCGCAAACGAGACGAGCGACAAAATCGTACTGACTCCAAATTCTGGCGAGCGATCCCGCACAGCAAAAACGTCTCCGAGGCTGTTAGTTGCCTCCTAGCACTACTCGGGGTTGGAGTTGAACACAGATCGGAGGCCACCGCAAGGCGTCAGGTGATGAGACCAAAAGACCCACTGCCACGTCAAGAAACATCCGGAGTCGTTTACCGGATCTGGTGCATTTGCGGACAAAGCAACTACGTCGGAGAAACTGGAAAACTGCTCCGGACGCAAATCGCCGAACAGGCGGTAGCGGTGCGGAGAAATGACGTCAACTCTCACGTCACCCCCCATTCTACGAGACCCGGCCTCACATTCAAGTTCGGAGACCGAACTTCTCGCGAGAGGGGATAATCACGTGAGGCGCGAGTTGCTTGAATCATGGTTCAGGGGTCCTCAGTTTGTCAACAAGTACAACGACATACCCACTCCATATTCCGTGGGGAGGCATGGTCTGGCCAAAGTAATTGACCACTCGGTGAACGCGCAAGCCGGTGAGCCAAATAGCCGAGCAATCTTCACGCCAGAATCCAACATGGGCGATGAGATTTCAGCGGGCGACAACGTCTGATGAAGGGTAGAGCGATTAAGTATCAATGGTATGCGGTAGCATAGCGACTGCATCCTATAAATACTGCAAACTCCTGTTCACTATTCACCCGTCTTTGTCACTGTCTCTGATGACGGGTTCAAGTGAGAATCCGAAACAACAGTCAAATCAAATCCTTATTCCAGCGGTCGCTTCATCTCCTTATCAACTGTTTCCTAAAACTCGCATCTTCGCTTGTATCAACCTACCTCCACCGTCTAATAAAAACTAAAGAATAGAGAGATTTGCGTATGTAATGCGTAACTTCTGATAACAACGACAGTGTGGATGGATTTGAGCCTGACAATAATTTAGAACGGACCGTCTGAGTGCCTCCGTATAAAGCATGAAGAAGATGAGAAAAGGAAATTGAAGAAAGCATGAAAAGGGGACAGGTACCTCTTTCTTCTAAGAGCGTGAATCGAGAATCGGGTTTCGATGCATGCTCCAGCATGTGTTCTGTCTTTACCATACCAGGCCAGAGTGAAATTACCGCCACATTTTTATTTTTCTCTCGAAGCTCCTGAGCCATATCAGCAGCCATGCGATCCATCGCGGCCTTACCTGAAAAAGAAACAGGGAAGAAAGACGTAATGGCACAACAGTTTACTTGAGTAATTGACGGTTATATTTGCATCTCCAATGATACGTCATCAAAAACAATGATGCGAGACAAAAAGTAATGAAAGCAGTCGTGCAAGTGGAGAAAACCACTGGCAAAAATATAAGAAAAAAACATAAGCGCATTGCACAGACGATCAAATCGATTGGTCAGCGACATCATCGATTGTGAGCTCCGTTGAACAGCCTTTAGGCGGTCCGACAGCTGACGTTTGTCAGCTAAGAAGCCAACATCCCACTATTTGCCATAAATTAGTAGCCTGTGTTCATCTGCAGATATCGGGAGTATGACGTGTATGACGAAATAACTGGCAAAACTGAAGCCAGAAGGAAAATAATCGAACTCAGTTTCCGAAAAACACATTGCGTTAACAAGTAGTTACATAAGATAGTTTGACCATCGATGCCGACGATATCCACCGCGTGTTCCACAGCAAAGTGACGCAAGAAGGGGGAATTGTGCGTGAATTACCTTATAGTGAATGCAGACTTGCACAGCACCTATCGCGCTCTCACCTCCTCGCCCCCTGGACCCGGTGTTAAGAAGGGGTCAAGAAGATCGGAGGCGGGGAAGGGCGCAGCTGGATGGCATGGTTGGGCCCGCGCCTTGACACTCCCCTCCACGGCCTCTGGCCCACACAGCAAATGACTAAGTTTTTGACCAATCACCAACAGTGGGTGGGGGGGGGGGCTGCAGGGGTCTCAGTGTGAGTGACGTCTGCTGGCAACTGGATCTGCCACCGCACCCCGAAATGTTGGCGTTTGTTATGGTGCGCAATCCGATAACGTCTGTCCAAATACGATCTGGCTCTCATGTTGGCTCAGCACATCTAACTCGTGGTCCGCTTGGTGGCACAACAAGTAGTTAAATGGTGGCGCAAATTCTGGTTTGAGAAATTCTGTAGAGCCTGACCGAAGTAGACCCACTCAATGCGATCTTGACTTAGTATATGGTACGCATATGACGCTATAAGCCAGAACCAAGTTCACAATTGAGTAATCCAGAATTTGCAGGTGTTATGTCCTTTTCTGATGTCCGTTGCTGAGGTTAGGATAAGCTTCGAGCGCAGCTGTGACAGGCTATAAGTATTTCACACTCCCTCAAGCCCCTGGTTACTCGTCCCCATGGACATGTGAATATCCATCCTGTCTCATTCCCAGTAATTTAGACTATCCCGAAGGGATCACCGGAAAGAAGGTCAACTTGGGTCAAGACAGACAGTTGCTTGGCTTCATGCCCAGCCCATGTCACCGCCCGTGTAGAAACAAAAACAGTACTAACCACTCACAATGACGTAATTACCATAAAATCATTAAACAGACGACAAAATATGCACCCAAGAGAAAAAAGGAGGCTTTCAATAAAGTTACTTAGAAAGGTCGCAATAGTGATTAGCAGGAGATACCGCTTACAACTACGTTATACAGTAGGTGGGCTTACTCATAAAATGCCCACCGAAATTCCAAAATACCTTTTTATTTCGAAAGGATTAATTAAAAAGGGATAGTAGAACTAATAATCGTGAAGTATAATGCCATTATAATCCAATAACCTCAGGATGCCGCCTTTCAAGTGAACTCATTTTCGACCGCACGCAGAAACTTTAGTCAGTATAAAATGACTACATGAGCAGCATGCATTTTTCGCCATGGTTTTCGATGCCCTTAGATATTTAATTATATTTCATAGACAATATGCATAAAAATATTCATTCTTTTGCTCCTTCGTAGAAAATTAGGTCTGCTTCCAATTTTATACTTGAAGAAAGGGTATAATTCAGTTATCAAAAACTTTCTAATTGTGAGAGCTTGCATTTACCCATGCGTCCTGTAAAGTTAACAATGCGGCTCAAATCCACTGCTAAAGTACATGAACACCATATGGTCTCCTCTTAATACCGTAGAGAAATGTAAGGCTTCCCGTACACGCAAAATGTATGGCTTGTAGTTTGGAAACCCTGAATCCACGTGAAACGGCAGGTCAAGTTCAAAATTATTCGGGAATTGGAAATGTTTTTGAAAACCGATTAATACCCTTCCTTTAAGTATAAAATTGAAAGAAGACGAAATTTTCTAATGAATGAACACAGAAGGAGTATTTTTACAGATGGTTTTCATGACGTATGGTCGAATTTTTAAGGACATTGGAAATCTTCGAGAAAAATGCATGCTACTTTAGTAATCATTTTTTACAAAGTGCGGTTTCTACATGCAGATGGGAAGAAATTCGCTCGAAAGTCGGCATCCTGATGTAACTAAATAATTATGGAATTATGCTGCAGGATGATTAGTTTTACAACCCTTCTTAATTTATCCTTTCGATATGAAAACGCACTTCGGAATTTCGATGGACTGTACGTCCTGACCTGCCAGCTTTGTTCACTTTCTGCAGTAAACGCGGGACAGACATTACCTAAGTAGCGCGCACGCTTATCCCTGTCGCAATAATGTTCTAACAAGGGTGCACGCCTCGATGGTCGTCCACCCAACAACTCTCATTGACCCAGTCGCCAAATCGGGACCCGAAAACAAGTGCGGAAATAGAGAAGTGGATTGACGTATCCCGACGGCGTACATAAGGAATACACGGGATGTCCAAGGTCGGACTGGGGTTTGACCAATCAGATACTGTCCTTGGGCGTTTAGCATGCCGGCTTGACTTCTAAATAATATGGTTAGTTGGGTAATTCTGCAGTCCCGTCGGAAGCGGGAGCCATATCACCACGTGCGAGGTTTATGGCTCATCATCAGGACGGCGTGTGATCGAGTCGGTTAGGGCAGCTACTACTAACACTTCCCTCCTTACGCTTGAATAGCACGACTTGGGCCGAGGGTTCACATACGCAGGCGCCACTTGGGTTCGTGCTCGGCATGATTGTCTAAGTGGTCGAATGAATCGTCTTAACACAGAAACGGTGGTCTCTCGCCATGGTTTTGGTTAAGCGAATATGTCCAGTAGTAGTTTCGGTAGTAGAGTTGGGTCTGGATTTGGCATTTCAATGCATTTCCGGGTGCTTCAGCTAGTTTACGTGGAGTGCCCAGATATCTGATCCGACCAGAGTCGCGTGGATTTTGCAATACTTTCAATGGACACCGTCCAGGAGACAACTTTTCGTGATTGCTCCTGCAGACTTTTACCAGCACCTCACCTGGGTGAAAAGAGCGTCTCTGCGCTCCGTGGCACCGGTTGAACTGCCATCCCATTGAGGTCGGGCGAAATGTTTCACTAAAAACATCCTGCTGTTTGCCGATCGATGGCGTCGGGTCAATGGCGTCGAATGATGTGCGAAGTCTCCTTTGCATCAAAATATCTGTAGAAGAGGCACCGTTAGCAAAACTCGGGTTCGGGGTTGACTCACAGTTCGACTTTTGGAGTACCCGCTTGGAAGTGTCAAGAAAAGGCTCAACCTGACGGTTGGGCTGCAGGTGAAACGATAACGAACGCAAGGGATTAATGCCTGCCTGCTTACCGAATTAGACGGAGGCGGCTGATGTGAATTGTCCTCTGTTATCTTTCTCCAAAATCTCAAGACAACCAAGTCGCCGAAGACTGTTGATTATGGCTACGGCTGTCTTGAGTTTCACGAGAAAGACTTCCGGTAATTTGCTGTATGTGTTGACGGTGAAAAGGGAGTACTGGCCATTGATTGGTCCAGCGAAATCACTGTGGACTCTGGAACAAGGGGCTTGTGAGGTAGGCAACGCCTAAAAATGAAGTCTTCGTAAACGCCTTCGATGGGGGGGGGGGGGCGTCTATCGCATGAGTGAGCCAGGTGGCCCGATTGTTTGTCCAGGTGAGGTCAGTGTACATGATTGCAAACGAGAGCCTTCATGCACTTGATCTTCCATGTCCAGTGTGAAATGGTCTCAGAATGCTTGCTTGCAATTTCTGGAAAATAACGACACGTTTGTTGAACCGGGCACGGTCGTAACTGGTGGAGGATTCTGTCGTTCTCAAGAAATGTTTGCAGGCCACTGCGTGCGACGGCATTTAAGCACTTGTCTGAAGAGTGAACCCTGTTGCCGGCTTCCTCGAGTGACGGGGGATGAACAAATGGAGTCCATAAACAGCCTGCGAGCCTCATAGTCAACGAAGACGGACACGGTGACAGTGTCCTCGAGCTAATTATTTCGTCAGCTGATTGACCGCGAGAGTGCCTCTGCCTGACGGATCTTCGCGGTCGACTGGTATCGGACATCGGGTTCTTATCCCAACAGCATGTTTACTTAGTACTGAAGACGATTTCTCGACTACAGAGGAATGTCCTTCGTCGACGCTAGGTTTGGGGCCCGCTAGAAGAGCGAGCTGTTGACTGTAAAGCACCTTGTGTAACTTTTCACGCGGAGGTTAACAGCCAGGGCCTACTCTTAAATTTGCCCATTATTGCGTTCCACGGACGGCAGCAATCTCACATCATGACCATAAGCGTTTTCTGTGTTATCGGGAGAGCAGCGTGAGATTACGGTGCCGATCCCGTGGTTGGAGGCGTCAGCCGCAACGATAAACTCCGGATCGAGATTGAAGTGCGTGAGCGGCAAGTCAGAGCCAAACACCATTTTCATTTCTTCAAAGGTTGGTTGGCATGCTCGCAACTAGTTACATGACATCTCATTCATGGGATGACGAACGCGGTGCATTTCCGGGAGGAACGAGCTGCAGCGAAATGCGTTGTGGTTTCAAAAAGATTGACTAAGTAGGGTTGTAAAAGTAATCAGCCTGCAGCAGAATTCTACAATAAGTCAGTTGCCTCAGGATGCCGGCTTTCGAACGAATTTCGTTTCGGCTGCATGTGGAAGCTATACTTTGTGAAAAATGGCTACTTACGTAGCATGCATTTTTCTCATTGATTTTCGATGCTCTTAAAAATTCCATTATATTTCAAATAAAACGTGCATAAAATATTCATTTTTTTACCCATTCGGTAGAAAATGATGCCTTCTGTTAATTTTATACTCGAAGGAAGTGGATAATTCAGTTTTAGAAAAGTTTTTAATTGCGAGATTTCTAATACCGTGAAATGGCCGTTCATAAAACGTCATGTCTTTGCATTTACCAATGTGGCCTGTAAAGTTAACAATACGGCTCAACTCCACTGCTAAAGTATATGAACCCCATATGGTCTCCTCTTAATACCGTAGAGAAATGTAAGGCTTCCCGTACACGCAAAATGTATGGCTTGTAGTTTAGAAACCCTGATTGTAAGTGCAATGGCACGTTAGGGTTCAAAATTATTCGGGAATTGGGAAAAGAGGCAACGGTATAGAGAAGGACCCCACTTAACTGCCGGTGGACTGTGAATCCTGCCATGCGTGATTTATGGTAAAGGGAGTTTTATGGGTGGAGCAGCACCCTAGAAAGTGAGCTAACAAAGTGAAAGAAAACACAGAAATTTCCTAGATTGATGCCGATAGTCTTATCCTACGCTATTGTACGACAACGGAAATGAGGGCAGCATTTAAACAATAAGCAAAAGTAATTTTCACAAAATAACGGATTTTGAGTTCAGGTGTGAGGTTGTGGGATGTAATCGTTGTCGGCAGTGCAATTTTTGCGACAGCCTGCAAACGCATACCAAGATAAAAACCCATATGACAGGATCCACAGTCTGCTGACAGTTAAATGGGGTCCTTCTCTATACCGTTGCCGGAAAAGTTTTTGAAAACTAAATAATACCCTTCCTTTGAGTATAAAATTAGAAGCCGCCACTTTCTGCCGAATGAGTAGAGAAGTGAATATGTTTACGCGTGAGTTCCATAAAATATGACGGAATTTTTAAGGACATCATAAATCAATGAGAAAAATGCATGCTACGTAAGTAGTTATTTTTTGCAGAATATAGTTTCGGCATGCAGCCAAAAAGAAGTTCGCCCAAAAATCGGCATCCTGAGATAACTGAATTATTATGAAATTCAAAAGATAATTTGGCCAACATAAGTAAGCTTTCGATAACTTTTCATCAGGCCTATACATTTATATTGTTAACGAAATGATTAAAAAGAAAATGCGGGCAAGCTAAAGTTTCTCCGTAGCTGGGGTCTGGTGGGGGGGTAGTGTTTTTCAGTTCATTCACTCAGACCCTTCCCCCAAACCCCAGCTACAGTGTTGACTGGAACAAACCACGATGCGTTTTAATCATTAGTAGCTTCCGGGACTTTTCAGTCACATCGAGTTCGAAATATATATCAGATAGATCTAGCTTGGCAAAACAAGGTTAACCATTTAGTTTAACAAAAATATCTTCCGATGCCGCTGGAGGGACGGGGTACTGATGCGCATACAGAGCAGTGATGGGCAGAATCGAGCTCAGACGGTGGATTTAGACGGCAAAATTGCTGCGGCCTATGCGGAGCAGTTAACTGGCTGAAGTCGCTCAAGTTCTAAGCGCCGCACAAGGTACTGATTGCTTTAAACAGGAGACAGGTTTTGCACTGGACTGAAGACAAACTGACTTACATCTTAACGCAGAAAGCAAGACCACTTTTAAAAATGTAGGCGAATATTTGCAGTAAATAAACGTCAGCCCTGTAACCAGCTGGGTCGATGTCAGGACCCTGCCAAGATGACTGCAAACACGATTAACTAGCCACTCCAGGAGACAGAGTTTATTGTTCCAGCCAGTTGGTACGGCTCCTCCTAACACGCAAGGCAAATGAATTTCGCAAAATTATTTTCTAGGAACGCACACCTTCGTGCAGTAACTTATTTGCACACATTAACATTAATAACAGCTAAATAATTCATGTCCATTTAGAAGCAAAATCTGCGCCCTCATCTCTTCCTGCAGTGCAGCATGAACAGGGCAGGCACGCTGTCACAAAAAGTTCGTGTAATTTTGTGATAAATTTTTATCATGGACAAATGTCTGCGAGCACAATTCCCCTCTCTCTCCAGCAATTAGCACGATTGATAACCATCATAAAAGGGGTGTTTGTAAGCTAATACGTTGTGCAGACCTACCAACACCGTATGCAACATTGAAGAGATATCGTAGACCACCAATTGAGGAAATGTTGATGATGAGGCCCGGACGCTGGTTGCCTTCGCTTGCCTGAGAATCCTTCCCACTACCGCTGGCCCCCTTCTCATTACTGGAACCCTCGGTAGTCAGCTGTCCGCGATATTCCAGCATCATGCGTGTAGCCAGAGTAGCGCAGATGTAGTGGTTTCGTAGTCCAACCCCGTTCACGATGTCCCAGGCCTTCGAGGGCGAATCATCTGCCTCCAGCTCCCAGTAAGGCAGGTCAATGTGTGAGGAGATGTAGCCGGCAGCCGCGAAGGCGTTGTTCACGAGTAGGTCGAGGCGACCCTTCTGCTCGCGGCGAATGCGAGAAAAAAGTTCCATCACCTGGCTGTCATCGGAATGGTCGACGACCACGGGAATAGCCACCTGTGGGGAGGCGGGGGAGGGGAGAACTGAAATAAATTTATTGTTGACGGAGACTCTAAACCGATCAGTATGAGAGAGTCAGCGGCCATTTACACTTGAGATGAAAATGACATGAATGCATTAGCCGCAAAAACATCCAGACACTGCCCACTGTGTGGTCCACAGCAGGAGGATAGCAGGGACGGCGACTTATGTGTGACAATGACGGCAGACTTGTGCCACATCTACCGCACTCCCTTCTCCTCTTCACACCTGGGCCGGGACCAGTGTCAAGACAGAGTCAAAAAGACAGGAGGCTGGAGACAACGCAAATGTCTGGCAAGGCGAAAATCCGCATCCGGACGCACCACCACCTCCCAGTTCACAACCGGACACTGAACATGATTTTGTACAACAAAAATGGGGAAGGCCTCTCAGATAGAAATTGCTGTGGCACGGGCCCGCAGTTGGGCGTGCCACCAGGATTTGTCATGGGTGCGCATTCCCACCCCTGGTGGTCCACAGAATCTACCGCGGGGCCCGTTTAATAATCAAATTTATGCCATATATAGCGCCAATGGTCCACGGGGTTGTGCCGAAGCATTCCGCAAATATAAACAAGGCGAAATGAGTAGACAAAGAGAAAACATATATATGCAATCTGATGGTTTTAGTGTAGATGCTACACACTACAAGTAATGTAGCTGACGGCAAGAACGTTCGTGGCATTCGCCAAGAAACCGTCAGCATCTGAATAACTATCCATGTGACGCGCACACGCGCCGTTAATGCAAGCGGCGAGAGCCGGTTAATTCAACAATACAAGATCACAGTAACGCCACCAACGACAATCCATGGTGCTCACAATCATAGTTAAACAGAGGGCCAGCAATTGCTTTTCGTTGGACACAGTTCGAAGTTAGAAAATTGCTGATAGAAGCAGACGTAGCTACCGTTGGGCCAGATGTGTATTCTAATTAAGACCTCTTGTGACCGCCGCTGTAGGTCATAATTGATGTTATGATGGCCCGTCAGTCCGCAGCCAAGTCATTAATTGCCGCAATCTGTGTTGAATGTTGGCATGATGATTGCACGGCAATTTGGCTTGCTGTCATCGGGTTTGTTGCTCGCTCGCGCACTCGCCATGTGACTGATTTCGCTGCTCAGTGGATGTCTCGGATGTCGGGAGATCATTACGCTTGTTGTTGGGATGCGGGCCTGGAAACCATGATTTGAACTGCTCGCGACTCACGCGGTTTTCATCTCTTGGGGGGATTACAGTCTCTTGAAAATTGAAAATGCGGATGGGTTCCGTGGAATGAGCGGCCACCCGAGCACTGGCGTGTTTCTTCCTCACCGAAATGCGTGCTCAGCCATCCGCTTCCAGGATAATCTCCCAGTTTTCTCTATCCGCAACTGCACTAGATCCAGTACAGGACTCCAGACGTTTTCTGCCATGCCAGTGGGTCGCCTGATAGTCGCTTCCGGTGTGTGTGCAATCTCAACTTCAAGTGAAGTAAGAAGGCGGCTGACGGCTTTCGATCCGTTTTTCACGTGCGGAAGAGCTCGCCAGATTTTGAAGCCGGTTAGATTTGGTCTCTGGTATCGTTCGCAGATACACTGGTTGACAAAGTTGCGCGGGTAGTCATTAGCTCTCAGTAACTGTCAAACCGATAAATACAATGTAAGAGGCGATCTTCAACAATAACCGGCCGGCCAATCACAAAAGCAGTTGCACGAGGGCACTCTATCGGCACGATGTGACGCATTACAGTGAAACGGAAGAAAAGGTAACTGAATAACACTATAAATACTGCAGTCTTTGCGCCTTCACTAATATTACCTGCGATTACCTCAGATAATGGGTTCGAGTGCGAATCCGAAATGCCAGGCCAATAAGCGTCTCGTTCTAGTGATCACATCTTCTTCTGATTTAGAGAATTGTCTACTGAAACCGTCTGAGAGGTCATGGCCTACTAACTACCGGGCAGAAGACACAAGAACAACGCGCAAGCCTCATTACGGCAGCGCCACTGACGAGCATTGTCGAGTTTTAACTGCATCTGGGATATTCCAGGGGTCCACTACAACATCACTTAGCAAATGGCTTTTGTTAACCAAACCCCGAGTACGCTGTTAAGCTTTGCTTCTCAGATTTATTTCTTTGCGGAAACAGAGTTGAAAAAGTCCAAGGGCAAGAATAGAGAGAATATAATGTGAGGTATGCGAGGAAACAAACGTACCCCACCGCGCGACGTAACCTCTGCAGCCGTTTCCTCCAGGCTCCCACCTACATCGCCCTCTTTAGCGTCGGTCTTTGGCTTTAGTGTGCGTCCAGTGATGTATACAGTGGCGCCGCACTCACCCAGTGCAAGCGCGATGCCGCGACCGATCCCACGACTGGCACCCGTCACCAGACAGACGTATCCTGTGAGATCGGGTAATTTGTTGCCGCCCATGAAGAATTCCAGAAAGGGTCAAAATCCTAGATGAAACAGGAGAAAACTGTCAACGCAATTATCTAGTAACCATTGAACTACAAAAAAAGATGAAGAGAACATCTGGCGCGGTTAAGAAAGACCAATCTCAGATAATTAAAAACAATAATTGGCATTGATCGCGCCTGGGTTAGTTCGTAGCCTTCTGGATCGTCATTCACACCTGATGCATATAGTTTCGTATAGTTTAAGGGAACCTCTATTTCTTGTTTATTGTATAAATGCAGTGACCAGATAATCAATGAAATAAACTACTGTATTATCCCATATGGCTGCAAACCGAAAGGCGGCCTAATATGGAAGAATGACCTGGTGTTGTTGCTGCTTGTGATGATGATGATGATGATGATGATGATGATGATGATGATGATGATGATGATGATGATGATGATGATGATGATGATGATGATGATGATGATGATGATGATGATGATGATGATGATGATGATGATGATGATGATGATGATGATGATGATGATGATGATGATGGGTGCGAGTAAGAACGGGGAATCTGCAACAAAAGAGGATTAGGCTAATAACACGATTATCTCATTTGCTCGTTTAAAGTCGAGCGTGCCACCGCATCTCGAATGTTAGCATTTGTTATGGGTACGTATTCACGATAATGCCTGCCAAAATCATACCTAGCCCCTGTGTTGGTTCAGAGCATCTATCGGGTCGCCCCGTTTAGGCGTAAAAACGTAAACATAATAAGCTCATCGTGAACCTAACTTAACAGCAAGTCACCGATATTTCCAAGTATAAACGAACTGACAGGTCAACGAAGAAGTGGCCCAACCCCCAAAATAAATTGTAATTTAATTTAAAAAGTTAATCTATCAAATAATTGAATCGCAGTACACATGAAACTGATCGGGTTCAGCAGGAAGTCGCAGATCTTGACTTACTGCCGAACGTCGCTGTTAACACCTTCCTCAGCATTATCAGAAAATATGCAAAACTTCTGTCCCAAATAAGAGTACGAAACAGTTGCATACACTTAGTGAAGCTTTGTCATTTGTAGAATTGATGCCTGTCCCATTCGTTAACCGTTTTTGTGCCTTTGCTGACTGGGTGACAGGGCTTAATCGTGCTGCGTGCTCGTAAGAGCGGTTGACGCCCCTAAGATTTGCTTTGCCGTTGAGTGCGCGAGCATGACTCTGGACCCGTCAATTATTTTCTTGTCTGCGTACTTGATTTTCTGTTTGCTACATCTCTTGAAGTTATTATATTAAACTTCTTTTATGTTTAAACAGGTGTCATAGCGGGCAAGAGGATGCGAATTCCGCGAGTTGTACCACCAAGATTTTGCAAAGTTGCCGAGAAAGTCACAAACACTGTAAGGTAGGTGAGGATGTCAGGGTTTGGCTACCTGACGATTTAACGTAGTTGGATGTGTCAGGTAAATACAACGCTTCCGGAGACTTCGAATGACCACTCGCATGTTGTCTGGTCATGAAAAGAATAATAAAGACAATTCGCTTCCCATGGGCGATTTGGTTTGGAGAAGACTAAAGGAATGGGCCAGTCAATCAACAATGGGTTCTATACACCTACGAAGTCTTCTTGTAATTTTCAAATCACTCGTTACAGGCCTGCCCACCAACTCTCGAAAAACGCTTGGGAGCGTCATAGAGCATTGATGGTCTGTGGAAATAAAACCAGAGGAATCATTAATTAACAAAGAATACTGGTATGCGGGAAAAAGGGCCGTTATTAATATAACAATTGATTGCCTACTAGTGTACTAATATACCAATTTGGAACTCTGTCGTAATCGAGCAATGACTGCCAGGCCCTTCATAACGGCCGCTTACCCTAGTAGCATGCTGATACCGACGCGGCATACTTGTATATTCGCCTGTAGGGATATGCGTTCATATAGTTTATATTGCACTACTCTTTGATAGGCTGACGATCTTTTCGCGCTGGGTGTGCGTCACGCGAGGAACGCCGTTACGATTTACTCTGTCATGGCGCGCGCGGGCGTGAATCTGTTGGCCTAAATTTATAGCTGTTTAGTTTATGTCTTCTGTTGTTTATATGTCAGGTTAATTTTGATCATTTTAACTAACTTTATTTTAAGGCAGATAACCCGGCAGACGGCGAGAAAACTTATTGCACAAATGCCATACCTGCCAGGTCCAAGCGTAACAGTAAGACGACCCCATTTACTATGCGAAAAGAAAGAACAGCTAAGGAAACAATAATTTTCGAAGCGCCTTGTACGTGATGTATACAAAATTATATCTATCGATATCCTGGTCAGGCAACAGTTATCACCCATATTGAAAGTTGAAATACTGACGATTTTATGAAGCGCATATCCTATGCATTATTTGACAATGATGTCGCCCTGAATGAACGCAAGATAAGAGGTTCCCGTACGCACTTCAAAGTTGTACGAACTGATTACATGTGAGTTACTGCATATCCTAAAACAGTTAATCCACACAGAACTTTACATAAGATAGAACAGACGCTAACATGTGCATATCGATGATTGGGATGCCTCTTTCACCAAACAGCTAGAGCGTTCCCTGGAAACGGCAGGTAAACGGCTACAAAGAAGTCAAACCCTTTCAAAAGTGAATGGTAAGCCAAGTAGATATATATCCTACAAATATCTAACTTTCAGAATAGGTAGCCGGACCATCTTCTTCAAACCAACACGTGAATGTACCTTGTGAATACAGACTGTTCCTTAAGCACATTTTACTTTTGCATGTATGTATTAGGAAGTCCTATTTTAAAAATCGTAAGTAATAAACAACTCGCAAAATACCGCTCGCTTGTTTTCACGATTTATGTGAGTTCGGTCTTGGCACCGGCAATTACACGAGCAAACAAGTAATTTGTCGCAGGAGACGGAAGTAGAGGTAAAATGATGTATATGAACTAGTTCAGCTGACTGGCACATATATATGTATACATACGTGGCAGTAAATACACATGTGTAATTGCAATTATTTATCAGTATCACGGGCCCGAAAGGTACGAGGTCGTAGAGATATCTGGTGAAAAAGTCATATACCTAAGCAAAGAATTTAAGGTGGGAAAGGATGGAGCTCTGGTATGGATGCGGACGACACAAAGCACTGCATACTTATCGATAAGATACCAACGTTGGTGTACACCTTTTTACGGATCTGTAAAAAGTCGGAGACCATCCAGTACCGAATAAATAAAAAGCCAAAATGCGAAGCAAATATCTCATATGCTGGAGCGAAGATAATGTATTATAATATGCAAGATAGACTGCATCTTACGGATGCGTGACTTTCAGACCTAACGACAATTCCTCCGACACCGAACCTTGCGCAAGGTCGATTTCGCTGCCTCTATAAAGCGTAGTTCATTAAAACATACTTTTTCGTTTCAAATTTCTGCACTGCTAGGAGTCCTAAAGGGCTAGATATCTTAAATTAAGATGTTTTCATGGATTTTTTAACGAGCTCAATAGTAAGTCGTGCTCCTTTGAGAACCGGTCATATTTTTGGCAGTAAGTGTGCATCTCAATGCATTTCAGCCCTGCAGTATCATTTACCCTGTCATCATAATCCTCCCCGTTTTGTGTTCTGTTGTCATATTGTTGTCTTTAGAACTTAAAAAGTTGAGTTCTGTCGAGAATTACATGCATTTAACGCAGTGCTAAGAGTTCCGCGTATTTTATTTGGCATCTGTCAAATGTGCATTGTCGACTGCAGCACATGGATTCAGTTGAGGAAGTGGACTGTAGACCTGCACAAAGGCGAAATTTACGACGGTAAGTCAATAAACGGAAACCACACAAAAAAATTCTGTTCGTACATGAGAAGAAAGTTCTCCGAAATAAGTAACGCCATCGAATAAGATCCAAGCGCGACAGGCAAAGAGAATCAATTGCTCTCAGTGGTTCGAACCCTGGCAAATCCGTCGCTAACATTTTCCGTCGTCGGTCCTACTCTAAGCGTGGTCATGAACTTCCACCCATGCTAAATGATAACAAAGTCTTCCTCACCGATGACACTGACAAGGCGGAGTTGTTTAGTGCTTTGTTTGCAAAACACCTTGCTACCGAGTCCGATCTGGTCCCTTTCTTTCGATCACTTTCAGATAGGACACTGAGTACAATTGATGTCTCCGCAGATCTCATTAAGAAACACACAAGCCGTTTGAAATACTTAAACTGCTCAGGAACGGACGAGATTCCGAATTCGATTATTAAACAAGCGTCCGACTTTCCCATATTGCTAAGTCATTTATTATCGGCTTATATTTCAAAAGGATTCTTTCCTGAAACATGGAAAACGTCAATTATCATTCCCGTTTTCAAGTCAGGATCTTGGTCCAATGTTAATAACTATCGGGGCGTGCACAAAACGCCGTCTCTAGCAAAGCTTCTTGAAAGGATTATTTTCAATGAAATTCTTGACTTCTGTCTAGCTAATCGGCTTCTGAGCTCTAGTCAGCATGGGTTTTTACCTGAACGATCCTGCGAAACATGCCACTTGGCTTTTCTTAATCTAATCACTTCTCTTCGTAATGAGCGGCAGTCAATTGTTGTTATTTAATTTGATCTTAGCAAAGCCTTTGACAAGGTGCCCCATAGACGTCTTTTAGTAAAATTGGAAGCCCTCGGCATCCGGCCGCCTCTACTCGACTTCATTAGGTCCTATCTGTCCAACCGATATCAGAAAGTCATGGTCGGTAATAGGTACTCGACACCCCACTCGATCACGAGTGGCGTACTTCAAGGCACGGTTCTGGGTCTGCTACTCTTTCTTCTGTACATCAATGATATTTCGACTGAACTCGGAAATTCGCAAACTTTTACTTATGCCGATGACCTCAAGTGTGCTTACGCATACTCTAAGGACACCGCAAATGTTTGTGTCGAAAAAATTTATGCCGATTTACTACGCTTAAGCAGATGGGGTTAGACATGGCAGATGGAGTTTTCATCATCCAAGTGTAGTTTCATGTCTTTTGGTCCTACCACACTTCCTGGTCCCATAATTTTTCAGAATAACCCACTCTCAGAATGCCTCACCATAAAGGACCTAGGTCTAAGTTATACAAATAAACTTGCTTTATCACCTCATGCAGATAGAATCTCTGCCAAAGCCACGCAGATATGTGGATTCATATCGCATAATTTTTTCCTTCCGGAAATGAAGCTAAGACTTTATCAAATGTTTGTTCTTCCAGTCCTCGAATATTGCTGTCCTTTCTTCGGTTTAATGGACGCCTGCGAACGTAATAAAATGGAAAATGTTCAGAGGGTTTTCACTCGGAAACTGTTCTCTCAAGCTTCCTCCAGTATTTCTTATACTAAGAGATGTCAGCTGGCGAACATGAAGTTTTTGTGGGTTAGAAGACTCGAAGCTGGCCTTTGCTTCCTTTTTCGCATCAACTCTAGCTCCAGTCTTCCGCACATTGACACTCTCACTCCGAGAGATCGGTCTTATGCCACGTGCAACTCCTGCATGATGATTCCGCCGCCTCTTTGTACTACATCTAAGCGCTCCCTCTTCTTTGCTTCCAAATATGCCTTCCTTTGGAATAATCTTCCGCCTGAAATTAGATTATCGCCTAGGTTACTGATAGTCAAGTCGAAATTACGCAACCATCTTACACCGGAAAGCATAAAGGCACTGTTAACGGTCTCATTCCCGAACACTCAGGTTCTTGACTTCGAGAAGGGTCCTCCTGGGATTTAGTGGTAGATTAAGTGGTAACTCTTAATTATATCATTAGAAAACCCTGTTTTTAATTGGTTTCTAAATCCATCGCTATCCTTCCCCCCATAGCGACAATTTTCGCGGTTTTTGATGTCATCTCCCGCATTCCGACCTCATGCGGTCTGTCGACGCTCACGGCGGAACCCTCCGTATTCACTGTCTACTAGTAGTTCGGTCGTACCTCCCTTCCTCACTGCTCGGCTGAGCTCGAAGCGTGCTGTGGCCGATCGCATCTGGGTTCCTCTCGTCTGGCCTCTTTGACGCGGCGTACCAATCCGGCCCAGACGATCTCAATTGTGAATCCCGTATACAATGCCATATGCAAGCCAGTCCTGTCTGACACACATTCGTACCCATCAAGGCTGACATTTATTGATACCCTGACGATGACCGACAAAATTCCGTTATATACCGCCACCTACAGGCCAGTCCTGCTCGCTTTTTTCTGTTATTATTTTTATGGAGTGGTTTTTTTTCTCCTGTAAAATCAATTCAATCATTTTTAACTTTTTTGGAAGGAGTTTTTTTCACCCCTCAATCATCATGTTTCTCAATGGACTTCTAATTCAGAAACTATGAATTGCATTTTGTAAAGATTCGGCCTACCTCGTCTAAAACTCGCATGTAAATTTATTTTAACTTGCTTTGATGGGACCCCGACGGGTCTTTAATAAAAATTATCTATCTATCTAACTACCGTTCCTAGACGTACTGGTTCACCGGAACCCAAATGGACACCTGAAAACAACGGTGTATAGGAAGGCCGCCAATACGCGCCAAATCCTAAGCTACCACAGCAAGCACCCGTTGTCCCACAAACGCAGCTGTGTACGCACACTATACAAAAGGGCAGATACACACTGCAGCGAGCCAGATGACAAAAGGTCGGAACTACGCCACCTTCCGCGCCTCTTCATGGCGAACGGTTATCCTCGAAATTTTATAGAACGCAACAGGCAGCCTGCGCCAAGCCGAAGCCCAGTGACAGAACGACCAAAAGTCTGGCGAGCCCTTCCCTACATTGACGGCGTCTCTGAGGCGGTCTCCCGTCTCCTAAGGCCACTGGGAATCGGAATTGCCCATCGGCCAGAATCAACAATCCGGCATCTGGTAATGAGACCCAAGACCCCGCTGCCACCCGGTGAAACAACAAACGTGATTTATCGGATCCAATGCAGCTCCTGCGAAATAAACTATATTGGGGAGACCGGTAAACGACTCCAGACCCGTGTTAAAGAACACATGAGGGCCGTAAGGAGGATGGACCAGTTATCCCTGGTGGCAGAACACTGCGCAAACTCTGGACACACATTCGCTTTCCAGAGTGCCGAAATCCTGGGCCGAGGAAATGATCGCGTGACCAGGGAAACAATCGAGGCCTGGCACACCAGCACGAACTCCATCAACCGCTGTGTAGCGCTTCCCGAAGCCTACCAGGCCCTCCGGACGCAGCTCAGAGAACAGGCGAACAAACGCGGGTTACGAGGACAAAGGAACCCAATTACGGCCGGGTCCATGGGGGACGCAAACGCGGCTGCACTTCAACTTGGATCTGGCGAAGGTGCGATCGCCACAACAGTCGCGACACCCACTTGTCCAGCCGGTGAGAAAACGGACGTTCGCAGTAACATAAGCGGACCCGACGAAGGTGCCAGCGTCACTGCCACTTATCCGGCAGGTGAGAACGTAGGCTGTCGCGGGGCCTTAAAGAAGATTGCCAGCCGAGTACGAGAACTAAGATCCACGGGGGACACAAACGCAGCTGCACTTCAACTTGGATCTGGCGAAGGCGCGATCGTCACAACAGTCGCGACACCCACTTGTCCGGCAGGTGAGAAAACGGACGGTCGCAGTAACAGAAACGGACCTGAAGAAGGTGCCAGTGTCACTGCCACTCATCCGGTAGGTGAGAACACAGGCCGTCACGAGGTCGCAAAGAAGATTGCCAGCCTAGGACGAGAAGTACGATCCATGCGAACACGTGCGATGACGGCTAGCGCCCGAACGCCGGCCCCCGACGAGAGCTAAACCCGTTGAAAGGAGACCATCACCACCTATAAATACTGTGAGGCGTGGTACAAAACTCACCTCCGACGATGAAATCTTGTTTGATTTTGAAACGTCAGGACAATACAACTATGGTTCCCGAGATCGTCTCTTCTTCGCATCTATCTATCTATATCCAGATCCATCATCACTGTTATTGTAAAGCCAGTCACCGTAGCAACAAATGTCTGCACTTAGGCCTTAAGTCTCTGATCATAGGTATTTAATCGGTAGACGTTATTAGAGTATGCAAATTCTGCTGAAGTAATCAATCGAATCCCAGAAATACCGATGAATATGGTAGCTTGTTTTCCAATCGACTACGCACTCCTGGTCTGTCGGTGGTCATGAGCTATTTACTGCTAATGTGGCGACCCGGAGTTAAGATATCCTCTCCGCCGGCTTGTTCGACTACCATTTGCAAAGAAATTGTCTTCTGTGTTTGCACTGCATACGCAGGCTGCAAGAGGGAGACTGACCGGTCATTTGGGGCGAGAAACGGATATTCTCTAGGGGCTGGACGTGAAGAGACATATTACGAAGTTAAAATATTTGCCTTGGCTCGTTCTAACTTACCTTTAGCTGTCCGTTCACACGACAACAGCCGTACCCTACACACCGATGTCTTCGTCCGATGACAGAGTATTTGCGCCATTAAAGCATTTACGATTAAAGCCTTCTTATGTTCACTTTGTCTTGCGTAATACTCAAATGTTCGCTAAATTATATTACTCAAACGCCATACTCCAGTTGTACAAATTTTTATCCTTTACTGTTTGCCAATTCCTTGGCATCCTATTCTATGATTGCAGCACCAATGCACGTACATAAACAATGGGTTTTTATTGCAGGAACAGGCCACTGAAAACGGCAGCTTTTCTTAGCACGTACCGTCGCAAAGCTTGATTGACCATGTTAATGATAGTACATATTTCTGCATTTCCCACTTGATTTTATAGCGTTTTTAACTATTAGCTGGCGGCCTTTGTCCCGCCAACTTGTTTAGTACACAGTAGGACTAACATACGACGGGGTTCCAGGCTTTAAACTGCCCCATTAAGTTCTGATACGGAAGTGTGAGAATGGGCATCAGTGTCCGTAAGGGAGCATGTCATAAGCGGTAAAAATGTGGCATATGTTTGGGTGGTTTACTTGATGAGGGGTGAGAGGGAGCCACACCATAATCAGATTTGATGGTTAATATGGTAAGTTCCAAAGCCAAGCTAGTTCGATCCAACCAACTCAGTATGAATCAGCGTAATAAGAGTTTGCTGGGTAGCGAAAAGTCGCCGCAACTCCATTTCCCGTCACGAAACGCAAACTCTCCCATTTACCATGAGATTAGCACTTTTTCTTTGCCGATGACTCGCGTTTTACTTTTATGCTTAGCACCATCTTTAATTTTCGCTAAAGTAAACTATGTGCAAATTAAAGAAACAAGAGGAGACATTGCCATCCGGCAGATCACTAAGTTCAATGTTGATCAAATATTTCTAGATTGCTCAGAAAAATATACAAGCCGTGGCCAAATGTCTACGCCAGCGTAAAGCCGCATACATAATGTAAATTGGGTATGGCTGGCTGACGACGGCTAATAAGCGAGAAATGACCATTCCAGTCTCCCTTGTCTTTGTCGGTAATACCATTCTGCCTATATATCATGCGCCGCTGTGCGGCTGCTGGATGGGCTCGAGAGAGAGCCCTTAAGGCACAACGGAACGAGTGAGTTCCGTATGAACGATCGGTGAGCGCCCCCTAACATTGTATATTCCCGATCGAAAACCGACAAGGCAACGGGCTCGTGGCCCGGTGAGTAGAGGCGTTGACTTCTAAACCAACAGGTCGCGAGTTCGAGGCTCGGGTGTTCCACACTTCGGGCTTGGGTATGGCTGGCTGACGACGGCTAATAAGCCAGAAATGGCCATTCCAGTCTCCCTTGTCTTTGTCGGTAATAGCATTCTGCCTATAATGTAAATTTTACGGAACTAAATTTTTCTTCGTGAACAATGTTCACTTTCTGCACGAGAACCAGTAGGACTTATGCATGAGCAAATTACCTCATAGGGAATGTCGTCGTCTGTAATATGGGGCATTTAAACGTAGGATCTTTCGCATTCTTCATTGCAGGTCTTTCAACGCAACGAATGGGGTGACCGCTGGGACTGCAGACCTTTGTCCTATTTCATGACAGAAAGAATTTAACTTCGCAATACGCTCTCGGCAGGCTGAAAATTTTAGCTGTAATTTTTCTGACTCGTGAAAAATAACCTTTACAATTTCTTTTTTTATTTGGAAGCGAACTGTGCGTTGGAAGCTCGCTGGTTGTGCCCATTTTCTCAAATTTGATACTTCCATATAAACGGCGGTCTGTTACGTGATTCCATTATATCTATCAGAACAAACATACACCGACCAACTGTGCATGATTAAGAACACGAAAATATTTCCTTTTAACTTGAAGAACGTGTCAAAAGCCATCGTTTGATAGCCTGTGAATGGACTTTGCCGCGTCCAGTCTCCAGAAAGATGCCACGTTAAATTTACATCTCAGAACTCGCGTTGATTACCAAAAAGGTCCTGGGGTCTAATAATGCGAATGTGCGTCCGATTAAGGGAATTCGTGCATCCCGACTGCCTCCTGACTCATACATTTGCAAGTTTTGCGTGCATGTGCCTGCTCTGACAGTCGTCAATGGCCTCACAGCTTGAACTTACGTTGATGTTAGATTGCGTACGACGCAATGTGACTTCGGTTTGCTTATCGCTTGCGAAGATAAACAGCGTTGTCCATTAATATTCGGCCGTTCTCGAACAGATTCAGTCAAATCTATTCGATATTTAGCAAGTGCTCTATTGTCATATCCGGAAAGACTCGCGCAAATAATGGGTGGGCACTGTACTCGGGCCTATTTATCGTTTGTCAAACAAACGAATAGTTTTTTTAAACAGAAAATTTACAGTACCATTTGCCTTCATCTGCTCCACCTCAAGCAGACACTTTGAGTGGTTTGGGGAATTATGACGATAGCGACGTGAGAACAGAGCATATCAAACAAAATTTTACTTGTCCTGAAAAAACTTTGCTATTGTAGATAGGGCAACAACTCTTTTGCAAAGTTGAGTTTGGCCCAGATGACTCCTTTCAGAATGTTTTTATTACATGATAACACGCTGACCCAACTGATAGTGATAATCACTCTTAGGGCAAACGCACTTCTATGTTATTGGATCTGGCGGTCCACATCATCGAGTAACGCTGGCAAAGCAAATGTGATGAAGCGCGAAATAACCTTGGACAGACCCAAATCCACCAACTCCTGAAATTCTCTACTATGACACACATCACGCTTGGCAAAAAGTCTAACAGCAAGTAAGAGGCACCATAGTTAATTTGGCTGATTTCGGAAGACGGTAGGGGATGGTCCAGTAACGGTTGAAATCATTGATCTACTAATACCACGAAACAAAATTCTGCGTTAGATGTATGACATAGGCCTTCCTTCTCCCAGAATGCGCTCTGGTGCTAAAGTCTTAAGAGAAAAGCAAAGTCGTTTTCCCTGTTGCCGCCTACACGCTAATAAAAGTTCAAATTGAGACAAGTTTAACTGATATGCCAGTAACATCGTTAAGTTCGCCGATGCCCGAAAGAAGACAAAAACAGGATTTAGGGATGACGTTGCCAATAAAAACAAAACTTACGCCTGGTTGACAACGTTCGGCGTACATTTTTTTCGTAAAATCAATCGCTTTAAAAAAGTATCTCCTGAGGTTGGACAGCGAGCGACGTTTTTGTGCATCCGTACAAGCCCGCAATCCTTAAGAGACCGTTGCTTCTCTCCGCCAACAGCAGCACCGGCTTGCGACCTCTCAGCCCGCATAATGAGGGGACTATGACGGGACCAGAGGAGATGTGTGAATATACATGCATAAAACCTTGGTCTGGGCCTATAGACTTTGATATACTGAGTAGCCCCAAGTTCGCAGTCAATTTCTGAGGAAATTTAAAAGTAACAATTTTTAAATTGGCGTCACTACCAGATAGCAGACAGGGAATGCTGGAGGACCCAACGGCAAGCCGAAACTCTCGCAACTTTTTAATGCAGCAGCAGAATATCGGCGAAACACGAGTTAAAGTAGTTTGGCTATTACCTGTGCTGTTAGCGTGGGACCACTTTGCTATAAAGTATACAGCTAGCTGCCTGTGGGTAGTTAATGAAAATTAAGTAAATATTCTCTGTGGCTGAGGGCCTTCGGCTCAAATATTTTTGCATAAAACTTTAGCCATAACTTATAGATTTTAAATATACCGATTTACTCCGAGCTCGCAGTTAATTTTTAAGGAAATTAAAAAGCAACAGAGCATACTGTCTTTCTACTTCGGACTCTGATCTCACCCCACTGCCGTGCGGCTTAATTGAGGATCATTCCTCGCGGTTTTCTGAATTGCTAATGCATAGCCCACTGGACGTTTTGTTCTAGTTATCAGAAATAACCTGGCTATTATGATTGTTCTCTGAAGCACTCACGGGTACACTGTTTACCGGGACGGTATCCGTCAAAATGATGTTAGAATAATATATCGATGACGTGTTAGTTGAGTTTTTCATTTCTTGACTGAATTTATGATGAGGAACATATCGCCGGAAATTCCGAATATGTGCGCGAACGTACAATTTGTGAGACTGTAGTGACATTTAAGTCTGTTTTGTTTTAATCAGTTACTATACCCTTTGACACAACTTTGAATAAGACAAAGAACACGCACGTGCACTTTTACCTGCTGACGACTTTGTTCTTATTTATTAGTTTGTAACTGTTGGGATACCGCTATTTTCGTTTCCTGGATAGCCTACTCGCTGTGCCCAACTAGTGGATTAATCTCTTATACTGGTGACCCAATATCGTTCATAGCTCCTTCTGTTTAATCTCTGTGCATAACTATTTCCATTCGGATTAATCCTCACTCTAATTTTTATCGATCAAATTATTCATCTAGCCCTTATTTGCTATTCACACTGTCTCACCCTTTCATCCCATACGAGCGCTACCCTTCAATCTCTCTGTCAACGCGCCAGTCCTCTACCCCATTTATCTGACCTCTGACCGACCCCGGCTAATTATGTCCAGCGATTCTACCAGCCAGCCGATAGCCGGCATTTACACTTTTGACCTGCCATCCGTGTGACTCGGTGACATCGCGTTATGGCTGCGCACTGTAGAGTCACGATTCGCCCTCCGTCAGATCACACGAGAGGATACCAAATTACACTATGTTGTGGCTGCACTCCCAATGGACATCGCCACCGACCTCCGCGACATCATAGATTGCCCGCCCACAGAAGCCCCTTATACTGCCCTAAAGGAGGCCCTCATTTCCCGCATTTCCCTCTCAACGCAAAAACGTCTCCAGCGTTTAATTTCTGAGGAGGACCTCGGTGACAGGAAGCCTACGCAGCTTCTTAGGCGTTTGGAGCAGTTGGCAGACGGACAAAAGCTGGATGCCACCATGTTCAAGCAACTTTTCCTCCAACGGTTGCCTCCTTCTGTGCAAGCCATCCTTGCGCCTAGCATTCCTTCGTCGACTGTTCAGATGCTCGCGGAGACTGCTGACCGTATACTCGAGTACTACCAGCCTCCTAGACAGATAGATAGATAATTTTTATTAAAGACCCGTCGGGGTCCCATCAAAGCAAGTTAAAATAAATTTGCATGCGAGTTTTAGACGAGGTAGGCGGAATCTTTACAAAATGCAATTCATAGTTTCTGAATTAGAAGTCCATTGAGAAAACATGAAGATTGAGGGGTGAAAAAAACTCCTCGGAAAAAGTTAAAAATGATTGGATTAATTTTACAGGAGAAAAAACCCCTCTTTAAAAATAATAACAGAAAAAAAGCGAGCAGGACTGGCCTGTAGGTGGCGGTATATA